CAGAAAGACTCCTGGACTCGTGCCTCATACCACAGCAAGCACGCAGAAAGACTCCTGGACTCTGCCTCATACCACAGCAAGCACGCAGAAAGACTCCTGGACTCATGCCTCATACCACAGCAAGCACGCAGAGAGACTCCTGGACCCATGCCTCATACCACAGCAAGCACGCAGAAAGACTCCTGGACTCATGCCTCATACCACAGCAAGCACGCAGAAAGACTCCTGGACTCATGCCTCATACCACAGCAAGCACGCAGAAAGACTCCTGGACTCATGCCTCAAATCACAAACTCACTCGTAACTAAAAGTAAAAATAAAACCAGACTTGAAGAATGCACTTTAAAGTCACATACACCAGAGATCGCGCTAAACACTTACTCTAAATGGACGAAATGACTAAATTTCACACAAGAGGACGCACTAAAATCTCATACAAGTGGACGTACTAATATCTCACAGTGGATGGACGCACGACGAATAATCTCACACGAGACACTTAAAATTCACAGTTGGACGCACGGTTAAACGTCACACCTTAAAAGATCACACACCAGAAGAAACCACTTAAACTCACACCGGATGGACGCAAGACCTTAAAAAAAGAGAGGAAAGTATTATAAACTATCACTGGATGGGACGCATGACCAAAAATCCCACTATAGGGACTCACAATAGACTCACACTGGATGGACGCATGACCAAAAATCCCACAAGAGGAACGCACTATACACTCACACTAGATGGACGCATAACTATAAATTTCCGACAAGAGGAACGCACTACAGTCTCCCTCTAGATGAACACATGCCTACAAAAATCCCACAAGAGGAACGCACTATAGACTCCCACTGGATGGACGCATAACTATAAAATTCCCACAAGAGGAACGCACTATAGACTCACACTAGATGACGCATAACTATAAAAATCTCACAAGAAGAATGCACTATAGACTCCCACTAGATGGACGCATAACTATAAAAATCCCAAAGAGGAACGCACAACAGTCTCCCACTAGATGAACACGTGCCTACAAAAATCCCAAGAGGAACGCACTATAAACTCACACTAGATGGACGCATAACTATAAATTTCCGACAAAAGAACGCACAATACACTCCCACTGGATGGACGCATGACCAAAAATCCCACAAGAGGAACGCACTATACACTCCCACTGGATGGACGCATGACCAAAAATCCCACAAGAGGAACGCACTATAGACTCCCACTGGATGGACGCATGCCTACAAAAATCCCACAAGAGGAACGCACAATACACTCCCACTGGATGGACGCATGCCTACAAAAATCCCACAAGAGGAACGCACTATAGACTCACACTGGCAGACATGACAACCCACAAGAAAAACGCACTATACACTCCCACTGGCAGGACGCATGACCAAAAATCCCACAAGAGGAACGCACTATACACTCCCACTGGATGGACGCATAACTACAAAATTCCCAAAAGAGGAATGCACTATAGACTCACACTGGATGACGCATGACAAAATCCCACAAGAGGAACGCACTATAGACTCACACTAGATGGACGCATAACTATAAAAATCCCACAAGAGGAACGCACTATACACTCCCACTGGATGGACGCATGCCTACAAAAATCCCACAAGAGGAACGCACTATAGACTCACACTGGCAGGACGCATGACCAAAAATCCCACAGAGGAACGCACTATAGACTGCCACTGGATGGACGCATGCCTACAAAAATCCCACAAGAGGAACGCACTATACACTCCCACTGGATGAACACATGCCTACAAAAATCCCACAAGAGGAACGCACTATAGACTCACACTGGCAGGACGCATAACTATAAAATTCCCACAGAGGAACGCACTATACACTCCCACTAGATGGACGCATAACCAAAAATCCCACAAGAGGAACGCACTATAGACTCACACTGGCAGGACGCATGACCAAAAATCCCACAAGAGGAACGCACAATAGACTCACACTAGATGGACGCATAACTATAAAATTCCCACAAGAGGAACGCACCAATACACTCCCACTGGAACACATGCCTACAAAAATCCCACAAAAGGAACGCACTATAGACTCACACTGGCAGGACGCATAACTATAAAATTCCCACAAGAGGAACGCACTATAACACTCCACTAGATGGGACGCAAAACTATAAAAATCCCACAAGAGGAACGCACTATAGACTCCCACTGGATGGACGCATGCCTACAAAAATCCCACAAGAGGAACGCACTATACACTCAACTGGCAGGACGCTAACCAAAAATCCCACAAGAGGAACGCACTATAGACTCCCACTGGATGGACGCATAACTATAAAATTCCCACAAGAGGAACGCACAATACACTCCCACTGGATGGACGCATGACCAAAAATCCCACAAGAGGAACGCACTATACACTCCCACTGGATGGACGCATGACCAAAAATCCCACAAGAGGAACGCACAATAGACTCACACTACTGAAGGACGCATGACTAAAAATCCCACAAGAGGAACGCACTATAAACTGCCACTGGATGGACGCATGTATACAGCCGCACACTCCCACTGGAATGGACGACACACTGACAAAAAACACACTAGGAGGAAACGCACCAGTAGACTCACAGCACACTATAAGGACTCACAATAGACTCCCACTGGATGAACACACGCGCTACAAATGGACGCAATCCACACAAGGATGAACACACGCCTACACAAATCCACACAAGAGTAACACACCATCAAACTCACACTGGACCGACGCATGACCACAACCCATGACCCTCCTCGGCCAGTATAACCCACAACCGACGACGGTCAAAGCCAGCGAGTGACTCCGGGAGACACACCTCTTGTATATCCGTTTGTTGCGTCACTTGGGTTTTCGACGGTCCGCGCACCTGTTGTCGCGCTGTGTGTGTGTGTGTGTGTGTGTGTGTGTGTTGTGTGTGTGTGTGTGTGTGTGTGTGTTGTGTGTGTGTGTGTGTGTGTGTGTGTGTGTGTTGTGTGTGTGGTGTGTGTGTGTGTGTGTGTGTGTGTGTGTGTGTGTGTGTGTGTGTGTGTGTGTGTGTGTGTTGTGTGTTTGCGCAATTCATTTATCTGGTGTCTCTTATTTTAGTTTTTTTTCTTAATGAATTGGGTTGTTCTTTTTTAATTCTTTTTTTAAGTGTTTTTTATTGGGTTGTTTTAGTATTTTTATTTCTTATTTAATTGGGTTGTTCTTTATCAATCCTTTTTTTTTTGTATTTTTATTTTTATTTAACTGTTTTTTTCCTTCTTTTTATTTTAGATTTTTATTTCTTATTTCATTGCGTTTTTTTTTTTCTTCTTCTCTTATTTTTGTTGGGCATGTTGGGCATGTTTTGGTAGTATGTACTTTAATGTATTTATCTAATTGACAAAATTGTTATTGTTTTTGTTATTAGTAACAATATTTTTTTTTTATTATTTTATTATCATTATTGCCATTATTATCATATCCATTATTGTCCTTATCTTCTATCATTATTGTTATTATTATTATTATCATCATTATTATCATTATCATTTATTTACTATTATTATCATTATTATTATTATCATTATTATTATTATTATTATTATTATTATTATTATTATTATTATTATTATTATTAGTTATCATTATCATGGACAATGATGATGATAATTGATTCATACCAATATCAATCAAAGTAATAACAATAAATCATTATAATATTTGATAGCGATGACAATTGATGATTTTAAAAAGTATACTTTATTTAAGCACTTAAGCTTACGAAAAAGGTTTTCTCTCTCTCTCTCTCTCTCTCTCTCTCTATCTATCTATCTATCTATCTATCTAATCTATCTCTCTATCTATCTATCTATCTACTTCTTAAAAAATCATTCTATCTATCTATCTATCTATCTACATCTACTTCTGAAACCCAGTCTCACAAGGATGTAAATAGAAACTGTGTATAAGGTACTGAACCTCCTACATGTGAAATTGGTGGACAGAGTAAATACACTGATGTGGCTATCCTCCTTATTGTTTAAGAGTTAACACACACTGTTATTTAAGTATTAACTATTTCTCTCTGAGTTGCAATGTCCTCCTCTTTGTTTAAGAGTTAACACACACTGTGTTATTTAAGTATCAACTATTCCTCTCTGGGTTGCAATGCTGGTAGTGTCTGAGTTAGTCTGCGGACGTCACTTTCAGAAAGCCAGAATAGAAGGCAGTTAGACACAACAAATAGATAAAGATAAAGCGCACAAAGATAGATAAGAATAAAACACAAAAAATATGAAACTAAAACAAAAAAAACTACAAAAAATAGATAGAAATAAAACAGACAAAAAAAATAGATAAAATTAAACACACACAAAACAGAAACAAAAAACACAGACAACACACAAAAGATAAATAAAACGCAAAAATAAGGTAAATCGGTAACTTCCGTACCGGCGTTCAAAGTATAGGGGTATTTGAGCTCTCCCATTGCTTGTTTGTGTGTGTGTGCTGTGTGCGTGCGTGCGTGTGTGTATGTGTGTGTATGTGTGTGTGTGTGTGTGTGTGTGTGGTGTGTGTGTGTGTGTGTGTGTGTGTGTGTGTGGTGTGTGTGTGTGTGTGTGTGTGTGGCGTGCGTGCGTGCGTGCGTGCGTGCGTGTGTGTATTGTGAGAGAGAGAAAGAGAGAGAGAGAGAGAGAGAGAGAGAGAGAGAGAGAGAGGGAGAGAGAGAGGAGAAGGGAGAGGACAGAGAGAAGAGAGAGAGAGAGAAAGAGAGACGTGGGTGCAAGCAAAGGCGGACTCAATGTAGTAACAGAACCTTCATGAAAATAGCACACGTAATGATTGCTTACTTGTTGAATCCCTTGGCTAAAGATAATAAACCAAGCCATTGAATCCTATCAACTATTTCAACCTTAGCAACCTCACGAAATTTGGGTTCTTTAAAAAAAAAAGTGATTACTTTAGGAATCATTCTCTCATCTAAC